AGTTGACCTTCTACCGAAAATATCAGTCAATCCACAAAGAAATCTCAAACGAGTATACCATTTGACTTTGCGAGAGTATAAAATGTTCGGTTACATCCGAACTTGGCCCTTCCTTACTTGTTTATAATTTGTTTTGACTTTTAACATAATTGAGTTCATAGTTGAATAAAAAAGAATTGGATAAAACTAGATACAGTGAGTTAAATTTTACTTAAATAGGTTCAGTGGGTTAGGAGTTTATACCGGATATTATTTCTTTCTTTTTGTTAGTGCTTTATAAAATTGCTTCCGGTTTTTAAAAACACGTTCGTCGGTTCATTCCGACTTTCTATTTAATGAAGTCTGGGTCTGTGTCAACGACGGTTTTCATTGTTGGTTCTTGGTTAGTAATTTGAAAAAATCTTAATCCTGGTGCAGGTTTTCAAACTGGTCTTGATGCAATATAAATATTTTTAGAAGGGAAAACAAGGTATATATGCCAGCAGACTAAATAATAATCGAAAATCTTAAATATATAGTCCGTTAAATTGGGAGGGCCATATTTCAAAAAAAAGAGAAGAAATAAGAAAATTAACTTATACACGCTGTTTTTGGGACAGAAAGTTATTATTACACATTCAATGTTCCTTCGTTATTCCGATTAAATATTGTATATTCTTCGACTTTCCTACACTGCCATATAAATCCGATTAGTAAAAAAGTGTTCTCAATTTTTATTTAATAGAATTTCTTGTTTACTTTTTCTCTTAATACCATTTGTAAGCGTTATCGCATTAAATTTCCCAAATAAGGCCAACAATTGCTCGGATTAATTTCACACGATGTATTCCAACGTTTTTCTTCCTACTGCTTGCGATTTCAAAGTTAACCGCAATACACGAGACTCTATCAATGCCAATGCTTTATTGTGGCTTCAGTTTTTTCAACGACTCAGGTGTCATATTATGACAGTGAGTAGTTGCGTGAACACCAGAGCTGCCCTGAGAGTTGGGCGCGTTGATCAAGTTGCCTGAAATTTAAACGAAAACTGAAAAAACGAATCAGGGCTACTTCCACCAGTAAAAACGCTTGAATCAGCTGGGATTCCGAAAGTGCATGCTCTCTAATCCTATTTACGCAATTGCAAGTATACTTTAAGCGTGACGTTGCAGTGAGATTGCGAAAGTGATGATACAGAGCACTTTTTGTATTTTGCATTTCTGCTGTTTCGATTGTATGCGTTACACTCAGTCGGTGGCGCCAATCCGACGCTTCTACTTTTTTTCAATTGCTTGGTTTTATTGTTTATTTTTGTACCTTAACGTCGATTTTTTCGAATTTTATCACTTACTCTGCTTTTGCACCACACTAACTGTCAACCTTACGACCTGCACATCTTTGCAACTGACAGAAGTGACAGCATATAAATGGTAGAGGCACTGTATTGCGCGCTGCAGGAATTTGGTTATGAGTTTTTTTGACAGCCGACATATAAAATTAAGAGTTTTTGACAGTGCGGTTCAATATAAAATTTGGGAAAAATACCATGTTTAAGTCCCAGGTCCCATCTTTATACTCTTGCAATATGTTGCAACCGAGAGTATAATAGTTTTGTGCACCTAACGGTTTTTGTATTATATAAAGATATGTAGCTATATGGTATATATATATATAAATGATCAGGATGGCAACTAAAGTTGAATTCCGAGTGATTGTCTGTCTGTCCGTCCGCCCGTACAAGCGATAACTTGAGGCGAAATTAAAATATCTTAATGAAACTTTGCACATGTGCTCCTTGGCACCCAAGTAGTGTTGGTATTGCAGATGGGTGAAATTTGTCTATTGTCACGCCCACAAAGTGCCATTAATCGGAAACATATAAAGTGCCATAACTAAGCACTAAACTAAGAGACAAAACTGTAGATTGGTACAGAGGATCACAGTAGGAAGAGACACCTTTGGGCTACAATTTTGTGCGCGTGCCCTCGCCTGATAAATATATAAAGGACATGTCTTCCAAGCCGCTGAATCTAAATCAACCAAACTTGTAGAAAATAAGTATTTTTTGCATTTGTTGATTCTCGTATTGAAAATCGGAGAAAATATTTTTGTGGTGACATCATGCCCTTCTGCCGAAATGGGTAAAAACTGGTCAATACTATCCTTATCCACCATATACCTGGTTAAATGAGCTAAGCCTTCTCCTCGCGTATATAAACCATTCAAACCGGGCACACATTAACAGTACCCACCACATTTGAGAACACTCAAAGTATCTCACCTCACACGACGACACCACCACACCATCAAGCAACAAAAAGGACTGGATCATCGCGCCCACGCCATTATACACTACGTGGCGTCAACACCTTATTCAATACGAACGCCTGCGTGCTACGCCAATCGGATCTGTCAAAATTTTGGATCTATAAAATCAGGGTTATACATTCTCTAGTCCCCATATACCTAATATACGGATTTACAAATATCCGCTTGACTTTATACCTTATATATTGGTTAACCTGGTAATTATATGTCGTAATACCAAAACTTGATAGAATCTGGTCAAAATATTACCTACGTCCCATATATTATATCTTATATCAGAAAATTGATAAGATTTATAAGGATTTCAAACATCCTATTGGCATCCTATTGGATTCCAAAAATCCTATGATTTTTATTAGTCCAGAATGAAAGTGGAATTTCCTATCCCAAAGGATATTTTCCTCAAGAAACTATGTGAGTCTACAATATATAATGTACATAAAAGTTAATAAGATACCAAATTTTGTTGTAATTCTTTTACGATTTCGTCGAACAATGAATGTTGGGAGTTTTGCCAACACCTGAAGGTGATTGTTGCAAGTTGCGAGAATATAAAATGTTCGGTTACACCAGAAATTAGCCCTTCCTTGCTTGTTCATTCTTTTGTAAACAAATTAAATCTTTAACTCATATTATATTATATATACTAGTTTTTCTATATTTACAGATCTTTACTTTAAGAAAAGCTTAAAGAAAACCCCGTTACACCCGCAACTCACACCCCTAATCAAAGAAATAGTTATTTTTAGAACAGTAACAAGGTAATTACGCATATTCTAAGTTATGGAGTCACCCAGTGCAGCTACCGCTTCAGCTGCTGCCGCCGCAGCTGCCGCAAAGCGCGTACAAATCGAGAAGGCCCATAATTTCATGCGCCAATATCGTGATCCGGAATCGCGTGAATTGAAAAAATTGTCGGCTAATCAATTTATGGATGTGTGGGCACATTACGACAAAGATGGTGAGTATAGAAAAAATATTGCAATTGGTTGGTGTAACTAAATTAGAATGATTGATTCTAATATTATTTTATATATTTAATTTCATAAATATTTAAAAAAAAATTTTATTCATATTCTATGTTTTGTCATTCTTACAGGTAACGGTTACATTGAAGGCACAGAATTAGATGGCTTCCTGCGCGAATTTGTATCGAGTGCAAATGCCACTGATATTAGTCCAGAAGTAAGTTCACACATGAAAAGAGAGTTTAAATATAATATTTATTAATTATTTTTGATCAATACATATTATTTTTCTTTATGAAAAACATTACAATCAAACTTTTATTTGATCTTTTACTAAGTATTTTTTAATTTTAAATCATTGGAACTGGAAGCCGCAATGCGTTTCTACATTTTAATATAAGAAAATAATTACGTTTCACACAAGACCTCGAATTGCATATTTTTTAATTTAATGCAGAACGCGAGCAGTTTAACTCAAAAAATATATTTCTATCGGTGATTACGAGGGGTTAGATCAATTAATCAAAGAAGGCAACATTACTCTCAAAAGTAAAAAGGAATGGAATTTCCTTCTCTGAATTTTTTCAAAATCTATTTGAGAGTATAAAACAGTAATTCACATTTTGATGCAAAGTGACGGATGTTGCCAGTCTTCGCATAACCTTTTTTAAAAATTGTTGTCATTAAACCAATTAGAATGCGGAACCACGCCCACTGTACGAAATTGCAGTTTTAAATACTAAATTGTGGTTTTGTTATGAAACTTTATAAGTTTTCGATTTTGTGGGATCATATGCAATACCAACTTCTCTTGAAAGCCAAGGAGTATAAAGATATTTCAATGCACTCAAGTTATCGTTTACACCGACGGACGGACAGACAGACAGTCACTCGGAATATGAGACCCTTGAATTGGACAATTTTTTGCACTTTCTTTCATATCACATTCTCAAATTCTTGTACGTTTCATGTACTCGGTGCACAAAAATATTTTTGATTATGTAATTTTTATTCATATCTAACCTTTTCTAAGGCATTTCTATTATGGATATAAATATGATTACAGACATTAAAAAAACAGGTTTGGGCGACAAAAAAAGTCCTCCTGTGAACATAGTCTAATATGATAAAATGTTCGGTACGGCGCATTGTGGTTTCGTTGGTCCGATTAATATAAAATCAAATTTGAAAATATGCAGATTTTAAGTTTTGGTGAAAAATTTGTGGAATAATACATATTAGAATTCAAACATTTGTTATTCGCCTTCGAAATTCATAATAATAATATTGTATTTAGAAATAATTAAAATTTTAGCATACTCTACTTAAAAATATTTTTTCTATAATACAACAAAATGTTGCTTATACAATACACTAGTTCGCTCTAGAATATATCTCGCATAATTTAAAAAAATAATGCAGGCTTATACTACATATGTACATACTTGTATTTAAACATTTTTGCGCATAAAAATCTCGCCTATTTCCATAAATACAGCTTCAACTTGGAAATTGAGGCAAAAAAATTAGAATCGCAGAGCGAGAAATAAAAAGAAACTCTACCAATGCTCAAGCACTCAGCATTTTTTGCCAGTCAAGCATGTTGGCGGCGGAGAAGCCGGCGCTTTCACTGTGTTGCTTAACAGCATTGCCACTTTATCATACTTTAAGCCTGCATTGATTTCTATGGGCTTCACTGCGGCGCATACTTTCAAGTATCCTTTCTCAAAACATACATACTTTCGGCTTTGTTATAACTGTTTAATGTATTTGGTGCACTTTTTCAACTTCTTTTCTCTTCTTTTATCTTTTTTTCATTTTTAGGCTGTCACCGACACAATGCTTGAGGAGCTGAAATCTTGTTTCATGGAGGCTTACGATGATAATCAGGATGGCAAAATTGACATTAGAGAGGTAAGTGAAGTGGTGAAGCAGAAAATGTGAAGAACTGAAGTGAGTAAGCGTGGAATGAAGGTCTTTGAGATAGATAGCAAGTAGAAAGTTTAAAAAGGCTGACAAAAAGTTAAAGAGCAAGAATTTATACGAGTACATAATAAAGGTTGAAATTCGGGAACGGAAGGTGCCTTGCCACTTGTAAGCATATTTGCCTTCCCAATGCGGCTGAGAATTAAGTTACCTTTTTTCCAATTTATTTTACATATTAATCAAAGTCCCTCGGTTTTATTGTTTTTGAAAACAATTTTTTGTTTCGTTTAGCGCAATCACTTTGATGTCGCATGCAAATTTATTGTCGCTTTAATGTGTTTTCTCAGGAGTTTATCCATTTTTTGCTTAAGAAGTTGTAGCAATGAATTGATATAACTTTGTGTTCATGTGTGTAAACATTTGGAACATGTTCTTCGCCTAAGCAACGAATAAGCCCAGCGGCCAAAAGACATGTATGCGTTGCTGACAGTTCGAAAATGTAGAACAAAATAGGTCTTAAAAGGCCGGACCGAAAATGTGTACCTGTAACAGTTCACTTATTAACAAATCAAAATTATACAATGCTACACAGTAATATCCTTCTATAGGTAATCTATATGTACGCATGAACACGGCGTTGTCATGTGCAAGCAAACCGGAAAAGGTTACTTATACGCCTAGTAGTGTTTGCAGTTTATTAAGCTTTAATGGATTAAATGAAGTGCGTACAAAGTAAATCAGAGACAGCTGTATTTTTATGCGGGCTATATTTGTATTTTCTATTACTTATTTGCTTAAATATCCTGTCTGTGTTTATTTATCGGCCTACTGCGAAAAGTTTTTAGCAGTATTAGAGTTGCCATCCCAAGAAAAAAATAGAAAATAACATGAATTAATTTTTCTTTGAAGTAATTACTAAAATATATAAATATAGTAGTTATAATATTAGGAAGATATATGTATTTTTTGTGGAATTAATTTAATTTTTTTAAATTCTTTTTTATTTAAATAGTATCTAATTTTTTGAAATAAACAAAATGTATTATTGAAATTTTCAGCAGCAAACTTCATTGAAAATAAAAAAACCAGACATTTATTTAAGCGTATATAAAAATGTATATTGATGTTTAACATCGGGTCTATTGCGCTTAAAAAGGTAAAACAAAAATTAATTGATTAATTTAAAAACTTTAATACTTTATGCATCTGTGTTGCTCAACCTAAATATATTTGATAAAATTATTTAATTTTTGATTACAAATAAACAATAAATTACAATTATTTAGATATAGTTTGCTTTTGTTATCGGTCTGGTATCGATATCTTTTCAAGTAAAAATATTGAATCTAAATAAAAGCGCTACCTGCACATCTATTACTGCTTACAGAAAAGTGTTATTTATAATTTATTTGTTTAGTGGGATTCTTGAAACTATTCTGAAAACTGTATTTAATTGATTTTCTAAGTTAAATACTATATTTGATAGTTAAGTGATTATCGGTATAGTTTAAAATGTCGATATAGGTACTATATATGTATTGTATTTGAAGAAGTCATATATGGCAATAAAATACTATTCAACAAAAGTGGCACCATTGATCGACCTTACTCTTCTCCAATTTGCATTACCATACTTTTTTTGCTGTTAAAGTATTTAGTTTTTGTAAATTTCAAAATTTTTTCCGCCCACTTCAATACACACAACCAATAATAAGCCATTATTGGACATACAACGCTCCATTTGCATTGCACACAAAAGCGTCCTGTTAAATCCTTTCATTGTTGTATTGACTAAAAGAAAGACGCTAAAATTATTTATTTATTTGATTTTCAATGGTTACCTTTTTGTGTACGTGATAACGAGTGAGTTGTGGACAATATATGCTGCAGGATATATATTTGGGTTAAGTGCACACGATGCAAATATAAATAAATCCTTATCAAAATAAGCGTGTGATAAAAGGACAATGGAAGAGCCTTTCATAAAAAAATATCAATATGGTTTTTCCTTAACTTGTCACATTGGGTATAGCTCTTTTATAGTTATATTTGCTCATTTAGAAAAGGGGTCCAAGTATTTCTCTAATTACGAATTTTCTTTAATGAGAACTTCTTATTCGACTAATTTTCCAACAGCTCGAGAATTTTCGATGATCACGATTCCCCAAAATCTACTTGTACAAGCAATTGCTATGCAAAGCTGGAAATAATTTTTTCTTTGGCTTTTATTCTTTGGAAAACAAATAATGTGAGTCTGTGAGGTGAACTTTTGGTCATCAAAAAGGATTTTTGTTTGAATTTCCCGCACGGAAATTTTTTCCAAGTCATGACATCATTGGCAAAGTATTTTAGGTTTAAGCCAATCCAACTATAGTACTCCTTTTATTTAGTTCTTCTATTTATCCAAGTATTTTGTAGCTTAAAAATTATTGTAGACATAGAGAGTACCAACATGAAATCTTGTTTAGTCTTAATATATATTGTTCTCAAATTTGTTTGGTATTACGAGTACAAACCTTTATTTCATATTAGAGAGATATTACTGAAGTTATCTAAATTTAATTTTAAAATCTGCTGAATATTGAAATCTGGTCAGTAGCAACTTTGTATTTCTAAACCTACAATGTTAATACTCAATAAGTTTGTTCAAGCTTTATGTAGCATTAAATGTGCTCATTATTTTGCCGGTACTTTATTTAGAAAGATTAGTCAGTCGTCAGTTCATTGGAATCCACATTTTTCTCCCCCTAGAACTTTTGCTACTCGGACTTTATGATAGTCAGGTAAAGAATTTAGTTCTATTAGATTCGAAAAATTTTGCCAGCTAAACTCATAAATGTTATGAACGTAAGTATCTAGGTCTCTTTTTGCATTTTTAAAGGAATATTCTATCTTGTTGAAACTATCAGCAAGTCACAGCATATCTCTCTAGAACTTTCGTACACCGTTTCTGTCTGTTAACATTTCCACACCTACGTAACCACTGACTTAAAAAAGTACAATACAATTATGTAGTTCAAAAGGTTTAATCAGTGGTTAATCAAACGGGGAATACTATATATAAAACAATAAATAAAAGTTTAGAATTACTCAACTTACGCGACTTGATTATACCAATTTTTAACAAGTATCTTCCAACTCACTCTAAAATAAATTTTATAATATAAAATTTCGCCTTTGAATTTGGTAAACGTGAGTCAAATATCAAAATATATTGGACTAAATTAATTTAGGGCCAAGGCACCAGAGCAGCAGACCATGTTAACACAACCAAAACGCACTAAATCAAAATAGTTACAAGAAAAACAACAAATAAAGCAACGCAACAGAAAATCTTCGCGCGTACAGTGTGCCAAGAAAGTGTATGACAAACAAGATGTCAAAGTGACAGCTGCATACAAAATGCATTGTGTTGACTGCCAGACTGACGGGCGAACAAAGAAATAAATCGCGCTGCTGCCAACGAAAAAACAACGTGGATGAGGGGGAATATAAAACCGATGTAGAGAACAAGAAAATGGTTTAGGAGCGATAAAAAGCGTGTTGCTTACAAACTTTGTTGCTTTATTTGTATTTCGGTGGCTAACAAAATACTACAGCTTACTGCCGAAGTTATATGAAATCGGTCCACGATTTGATTGAGTTTTATATATAATACTATAATAGTGTGTTATTTATATTGATAGAATTGGAAACATGTTCTCGAGTATACCTGATTAATGTCGAAATTCAATGCAATCAGTCCAGACCTTTATCTAGTCTCCACGCAGTGTTTGTGATATAACGAAATTAAGTGGACAAGCTTTCTTAAAAATAATGCCAAAAGCCCAAATCCCTATAAATATGATTTCCGATTATATGGTTGACTTCTTCCTCATACATATACCTCATGTATCCCATTTGAGATGCTTAAGGCAAGTCGAAAGTTTTCGAAATATTATAAATTAAGAAAATTAAAACTTGAATGTTTTTTTTAACATCTAATTCTCAAAATTTTAAAAATTTATATTGTATATCTCAAAAAATCGCTCCTAAAAAGTGTGTTGCGGCGTTTGGGACACCCTAATGTATATACAAATTTATTTTAACTACACTTTTATGAATGTGCGAGCATCATTGCGTGAGCACATGCAATTGTTCGCCCGCTCTGAACCTGCTTTTTGACTTTTCTGCGCCATTCATTACTCAACAGTTTGTTGTTGCGTCTGTTCTGCCTCCCTTCGCCTAACTTTATTTTGTTTTTCTCTCTCGGCTGCGTGCAGCTGCACGCACACACTTGTGGTTGTGGTTGCGGTTGTAGCTTGTGGTTGTTGTGCCACAGTTGCCACATATATCTTTGACGCATTACCCGTGTCACTTTTAATTAGTGCGCCTTCGAGCTCGAGTGTGTGTGTGTCTGTTCGTCAGACGGTGATGAACAGTAATGAGGTGAATATGATTTTATTTATTGCATTGATTTGATGCGTAGATTTTAAATGAAAATTTCACAAACAATGTGAATTAGAATTTTTCGTTGACACGAGTAGAAAACAAATTTTTGTGTGTCAACGCACCTTGCCACGCATTTCATACTTGTTGTATCTAAGTTGCCACCACTGCTAATTATAAATTGTTAGTAAAGTTACATAATTATAGAAATAATAACGTCTATGATATTATTGGTCTTTTTCTTTAATATGTGGTGTGCGTCTTTGATAACATAGCTTATGAGTATAGCGGATCCTGCAAAGATAAATGGTTCTCGTAAGCAGCTGTTGTTAAATTTTTTTGCATTAGAAAAAATTTTAGCTCAGCTCGGTTCTTGCTGAAATAATATTACTGTCAGAAATTATGGTTTTTATTACTATTTGTATATTAGGCTTAGTTAAATGTCAAATTATGGTTGTTATTTTATTTTATATTAGACTCAGTTAAGTGTCGAATCGCTAGATGATAACCATGTATTTAACCTAGACGATTTCTGCACCATAAATTCTTTCGGAATTAAG